GCGTGCCCTAGTAGGGGGCTGCTTACTCCAACGTTGGAGTAGAAGCGTGGCCTAGTAGGGGGCTGCTTACTCCAACGTTGGAGTAGGAGCGTGCCCTAGTAGGGGGCTGCTTGCTCCAACGTTGGAGTAGGAGCGTGCCCTAGTAGGGGGCTGCTTTACTCCAACGTTGGAGTAGGAGCGTGCCCTAGTAGGGGGCTGCTTACTCCAACGTTGGAGTAGAAGCGTGCCCTAGTAGGGGGCTGCTTACTCCAACGTTGGAGTTGGAGTAGGAGCGTGCCCTAGTAGGGGGCTGAGGGGGCTGCTTACTCCAACGTTGGAGTAGAAGCGTGCCCTAGTAGGGGGCTGCTTACTCCAGTAGGGGGCTGCTTACTCCAACGTTGGAGTAGAAGCGTGCCCTAGTAGGGGGCTGCTTACTCCAACGTTGGAGTAGGAGCGTGCCCTAGTAGGGGGCTGCTTACTCCAACGTTGGAGTAGGAGCGTGCCCTAGTAGGGGGCTGCTTACTCCAACGTTGGAGTAGAAGCGTGCCCTAGTAGGGGGCTGCTTACTCCAACGTTGGAGTAGGAGCGTGCCCTAGTAGGGGGCTGCTTACTCCAACGTTGGAGTAGGAGCGTGCCCTAGTAGGGGGCTGCTTACTCCAACGTTGGAGTAGGAGCGTGCCCTAGTAGGGGGCTGCTTACTCCAACGTTGGAGTAGGAGCGTGCCCTAGTAGGGGGCTGCTTACTCCAACGTTGGAGTAGGAGCGTGCCCTAGTAGGGGGCTGCTTACTTGAACGGTGGAGTAAAGCGTGCCCTAGTAGGGGGCTGCTTACTCCAACGTTGGAGTAGAAGCGTGCCCTAGTAGGGGGCTGCTTACTCCAACGTTGGAGTAGGAGCGTGCCCTAGCAGGGAGCTGCTTACTCCAACGTTGGAGTAGGAGCGTGCCCTAGTAGGGGGCTGCTTACTCCAACGTTGGAGTAGGAGCGTGCCCTAGTAGGGGGCTGCTTACTCCAACGTAGGAGCGTGCCCTAGTAGCCCCAAGGGTCCAATGTATGTGATAATCATATACTCTCTTTCAGAGAGCTCGCTGGCGAAAGGACTGTGTTAGAGGACCTCGAGGCAGAATATACACATTATAGTAATATTATATATTGGGCTTGATGGGTTAAGTTGATCTCTTTAGGGATATGGGTTGGAGCTAACTTGCCTGGGCTTGAGGGTTTCAGTCGAGGGGATCATGACGGTTGTGGGGGGGCCGCCGTGTTTTGGCCCTAAACCCTCGCTGGCGGCTGCGATCCTTTTCCGCTTCACGTGCCCTCGGCCTGTTCGTCCACACCATGCACTAGCTGTAAGTACCATCGCTTAACAGCGATGTCTGCAAGGGTCCACGGGTGACAAACAGCAGCCAATCCTGAGATATACTTTGATACGATCGCGATTGCATGGTCCGACAGATTCGTGAAGCAACATCTCATGCAGCTGAGTGTCGAGATATCTTGCCGACCGCATCCTCCTGCATAAAGCAATGGTAGAATCGGCATCCTTCACCTCATCAGCTTAGCAGCTTGCTGCGAAGAGACACCCATCGAATCATCAAGGCGAAACGGCACGTATTGAATCCAAGTGGCGATGAGCCACCTGATGCCATGCTAGCTCCTGCCAAGCCTTACTGCTCAACATATGGCCGGTGCAACTTTACCTAAAATCACACCCAACTGATCTTGCAATTGACTGCAATCTGGGCACGTGGAACTTCGGTTTCAAAGGCCATAGCGGCATATTGAGGGCAGAAGCTTTCTCAGCAAGCCGGAAGTAAGCCATCGTACACATATCCTTAATAATAAGACTCAGCATGGTCTTCAAAATCGATTGTGATGAGTGTGGCATGGGCCAGACAATAATCAAAGCAAGCATCGCAACATTGCTGCATATGCTCAGCTTGATGTCCTTCCAGGTACCGCATGGAATCTTCCGACGAGTTGAACCAGGAGGCCAGGTGGTGCCTTCAGGTTGTTTGGAGTTGTGGGGTAGATTCGGTAATTAATTACAGGGAGACCCCACAGCTCAAGCACACATACAAAAGATGTGGCTAGGTGATGTATATATGTATGCATACATAGGTGATGTTAGTCTCGATTCCACTGGAATAGCCCATGTATGCATGCGAGACACGTGCACTCGGCCATAAGCTTGAGGTCTTCAGCCGCATCAGTCTCATCCAAATACAAGCCCAGCAGAAAAGAAGCCAACCATGCCACCACGACCCGGGCCTTGATTATTGGAATAATCCCACCCCTCCCCAACCTCGCCCTATTTAAGCTAATAATAAGAATGACCACGGATACCATTACATTTATATGAGCCTGACATGATCACAACAGGAACTTTAATAAAAAGTATATGAGTCTAGATTGCAACCCTGTAGCATTGTAAGCCTTGGCTCGTAGCTCCGGGTACGGACCGTCAGGCGATCGCAGCGAAGCAGTAGTAAACCGAGGTTGGGTGTTCCTGGATTGCAGGTGTGTCTTACAAGAATCGTGGGTAGTTTGGATAATGTAATGAATTATGGGCCCCCTGTACTGACCATATATTGTGCTAGAATATAACTCGAATTTGAATATGAAGCAAGCGGCGGGATTCGTCGCTGAGAGCACCATTGTTTGAAGGCTTCGTGAGCAGTCTGAAGTCGCTCGGCATCAGTACCCGGCCCCCAAACGGGATAGTTCATCAAGAGAAGCTTGAAGCAGCTGCCCACAATCCATAAAGCAACTCCCAGATTGATGACATGCATGCTGCACCATTTGAAGGTGGAGGGGCATACGGAGTGCAGATCGAAGAGGGGGCCTGGAGCTCATCTGCGATATCGTTACTCACATCTGGAACAGCTAGAAGCCTTAATAACAAAGATCTAGATTTATTGATATTGCAGGTTGCAAGCTAGACACTTCTAATTCCCGGGTGAAGGCATTGTTGGCGGATCTCGTCCATTGATCGTCGTGGCAGCTCATGCAGTAACGATGGTACCACAGCATAAGCATGCATTGTCACCCGGCATTGGTGGCAGAGCTGATGTGAGCTCCACCCAGTTTTGAGCCCCATCCATTCCTGCATTATATAGGTTGAGAACCCAAGCCATACCATGCATGGGGTTTCGAGCATGATTTAGAAGGCTGGGGTTATGAGCTTGTTTATTTGATCGGCAATCGAATCTAAAGGACAACTCTGGCGCAATTGTCGGTCCTTCTGCCACTTCCAGTCGCCCCTGACTTCAGTGCAAATCCCATAGACCAGAGATTCATTGCAGCGGGAAATAGGTACACCTCCCACTAGAAGATTCAAGCTTGCAACCACCTGCGATGATTGTCATCATGATGGTCATATAGTACACATATACATATATATATATATATATATTGTTGAAATTTAAAGTGCTAATTTTCCTCCATGGCACCGGCTTCATGTAGGCTGCGATCGTAGCCATGCCCAGGCTGAGCTCCTCGGATGATGCGGCTTCCATGATGCAAGGCTAGCCGCTCTAATGATATTTTGAATGGACATATAATTAATAATAATGTACCTACCGAGTCGAAATCTCGATCAAGCTAGAAACTATCCGAAACCGATCGCGAGTATAAGGAATTTATACATGGGTCCTAATCTATCAGCTAATTATAATTAGCTGATAGATTAGGACCCATGTATATAATCATATAATCTTATTATTAGGACTTGTATAGTGGAAACATTGCAATGCTAAAATTAATCCGGAATCACAGCCACACACCCAAAGAGGAAAGCAGCTCGTGTAGGAGTCGCGGTTGGGGTCCAAGCAGTTCCCCATGAGACACACCATCACCTTTTGGTTGAACTTTTTCCCATATCTACAGTCATCGCCCCATAGCCAAAGCGGTTGATGTCCAGTCGAAGGGGCTCGGGTTCCGGTGTTCCATTGCTTGTGGTGCTCCCAGTAACGACGAACTTCAGTTTCAGCTATCACCGGCCACTTACCAATGCGAATAAGCCATGGAACCAGGTTGTGCGGGAGGACAACGGGCATTGACCTTTAAGCTAGTGTGCACCAATCGGATATTTGAAGACCATGCATGCCCCGGAATCGAAGCCATGACAATTATTACAACCGGGACCATTATGGGCACAATCTCGACACGAAGATCTGAACCGTGCTCCGATGGCAAGTGGCTTTGTGATCATCTTCAGCTTGCCCTTCTCAGGTTTGATCGGCACGTCCACCATATCGATGGGAACCTGAGGCTGGGCAAGTGATTTATGTCCAACTAGTAGTAATAACAACATTTGGGATTTGATCTCGAAAGGATCGGACATGTGGGCCAAGGGCACAATGCAATAATCCGCCAATCGTTTCTCTCTCTCTCTCTCTCTCTCTCTCTCTCTCTCTCTCCAATATAGATCAAGACACATCGTCTCCCGTGGAGCTTGCACGTAACATGTCCCTTTGTATGTTGCTGCTCCATTTCCCATGTGCTCCTGCGGCCTCCAGCTTTGCACACCGGCCGGTCATCTTGATGCCATAGTTGGCCATCTCCTGCATCGTGGTTTGATGGGTTGTCTAACTCGGGATGTTCGTTCAACATACATGCAGTTGCAGGATTAAGAGCATGCAGTCCTCTTTCATCGCATGTGCAGAATCGCGGGCACTCGTAAAGGATGCCTCATCATCGGGACGAGGGGGACAGTATTGATCATCTTATGGCGCTTTTTGCAAGCAAGTCACACCACGGCCAACAGCTCGCATCAAGTGGTTGAACATGGGCGATGTCCTTGCTCTCGCGAGATCACCTGCGACGGAAGAGGGGGTTCCAACTATTGCTGGGTTGTCTCATCAAGCTATCTAGACAGCATCACTCCGACATTCGATTCTTTTTAGCAGCAGCACAGCAGCATGAGAACGGTGTCGGCTGGCTCGCCCCTTTGCAAAACAAGCCTGGCTAGCTATCGCAGGCTTCCTTCGGGATCAGGCTTGACACAAAATCCTAGCAATGTGCAACAGCTCCAGGTTCCAACAGCAATGCATGCTCGAAGTTCTTTGGAAAGTATTATATAGTCTATAAGCTAGCTAGCCCTGGTATCGTGCAAGCTCGGCATGCATAAATAATTCATCGTAGTACTCGTAAAAAAAAATATATATATATATAGATAGATAGATAGATAGATATATAGTTGCACGTACTACTGGCCGGGGTCTAGACTCGCACATCGATCATGCATGCTGTCCCGTAGCTACATTGCTTCGGCCCTGCAAACTCTGAGTTCCCACCCAATATAATGCAGCTCACGAAAGCCCCATCCAGGCACCGCTTCTCCTCACTTTCGTGCCGAAGGCTTGGCCTTCGCTTTGACCTTTGGCGGATCCTGGGATTGGGTTTGGCTGTCGAATGATGTCAAGTAGTACGGAATAGATTAAATCGTAATTTTCATACCCAGGGCTTGCATAATAGATTTTATTACATGTAAGAATTGAAACATAACCTAGAGCTATAACTCGCTGGGTCATCTATCGGACTATGCAGGAGTAGGCTTTCGGCGCTCAGACTCGGACGATTTATACTATGCTTCGGGGTATATATTCAGGGTTTTTTAGTCTGATAGTTCTACATAGGCTGAGGGCTTCGGGTGAAGTGGTCCGGGAATCGGGATATAATATACATAATCGAAATAATCCAAGGTTCCAATGTCAGCTTCATTGGCCGCAAAGAGCCAACGAAATCTGTTGACAATGTCTCAGCAGTCTGCAAGTAGGTCGCTATGTCCGCTTGCTGCTCAGTCGTCAGGTCTTTGTCCTGCACATTGCTGCAGCTGCTGTAGAGGGCCTCCATCTTGCTCTTGAGTGAATCGAACTCTGCCCTCTTGGCTTCCAACTGGTCGTTGAAGCCCTCCTTCGTCTTCTCCGACCTGGGCATTGTTTTGGGTGAACACATGGAATATTATGGCCGTGCCTATAAGCATATATGTTTGACGTATATTTCCATTTGCTCCATGTACACAAAACCCTGAACAGTCATAACCTTAAACAAATACCATCATAGGACTAAGTGGCATGGCTTCGGCCTGGGATTCCGCGATCTTCCGGCACCAAACGAAGATCTCTGTTTGCCTTGCAGCAATTGCCTGAATCTTGCTGTTGAGCTTGCGGGTGAGGGAAAATGCATTGACCTTCTTCGCCTGCTGCTTCGTGTGCTCCTGTGCAGGCAAGGACTCCGTCGAGCGGGATGCCTGCAGAGCACCAGGATTGCCGAGGCCGAAAGCCGCACGGTTTGCCCCGGGCTGCATAGCCATGTCATTGATCGTGCTCCTCATACGGTCATGGATCCAACGGGTTATTATTATTTAAGATAAAGACGATCATCAGTGAAATCGGGAGATATGATGATTAGAATTCTAGACGACCTTTATACGTGCAGAAAAGGCTCGCAAGCTGTGACGTGGCTTCACCTCCCAGGGTGACCCGGCTAGAGAACCCAACAGTGGAGGAGGAGACGTCCTTGAGTTCGAACTCGAGAGAGTCAAAACACCTGAACATTTCCCAGTCCTGAGTTCGAATAGATTACCGGCTCGAGGCTTCAAACGGTTTAATATTCAGCAGTAGCGGGGAATACAACATGTATATAATAATTAAGACAGATATAGGTGTACATATCGGGTCCAATGGCTTAGAATATATGTATATATATATACATATATTAGAATTACAATACTAAAACGGTGTACCTTATAGAATTATGTATATATATATATATATATATAGTCGGCTATATCATTATAATAGCGGCTCTGTATCATGTATACTAAAATACTTTGATCTATATTATGATCATTCATAGAACGACTTCCCAAATGCAAATCCAGTGGCTGCATCGTCGCCCGCATCCGGGTGCTTGAACCAGAACGGGCGGGGATCCACTTTCTCGTCCCGCAACTGCTCTAGCTGCTTCTTGTTGTCCCGGATCCTCTCTGCCGACTTCTTGCCGTACTTCTCCTTGAGTGCCTTGAAGCTTATCATTTTTTGTTTTCCTTTCGATTCCTCACTCGTCTTCCTCTCGGACTCCTGATAAGCAGCCGTTCGTGTCCAGTCGCCGTTGTTCTTGTGCCAGTCGTGGAACAAAGCTTGCATGAGCTTCAGACGATCTGAGAGATCATGCGAATGAGCTGGGGCAGCACATGTGTACAATCAAGCTGCAGCTGAAACGACATCACAAGCTGATTATATTTCAAGTGCAGACATGAGACTCGGCTGGCCCTTGAAGGACTGGACCTTCTCGAGGATCTGAGGGGGACAGTCAGCACCTCAGATAAGGCAGAGACTGGTTGAGTGCTTGTCGGTTTGAGTGCATGTATTACTAGCCACTAAAAGGGATCATGACTTCATTAGCTGCAGTGCGGATTGGAGATGGTCACATTTGTCACTCTGCAAGCCACAAGACTGAAATCCAATTTGAGGCATCCGAAACCATCGACATAGACAATCCCTGATCTACTTGTATAACAAGATGCTCTTAATCCGCCGATCGAAGGTCACCCGGGCATTGTGCTGCTGTCGCTTGAGCTCCTTTGCAGCGGCCTCATCCTCTTCGGTGTCTTCGGGCTCCGGCTTCGGGGTGGCCGGTGGTGGTGCCTGAAACGACAGAGGTGTCAAGGTCATGTGACATGTCATGTGAATGCACATCGGATCACATGCACAGGTGGGGGTCAGGGCAGAGAGTGTTGCAACTGGCCAGACATGTCCTGCGATCACGACTGCACTCGATTCTCGCCTTGCTTTCGACCGGAATGGATCCTGCTGGCGCCAGGGAATGCTGTGGCTCGAGCTCGTGGCCGGGGACCTCAGTGCCGAGCTCGAGTGTATATTCGTCGGATTGAAATATACCTAGCAGACACACATGCACACACACACATACTGCATGTACATATGTGCACACCTACTAAATAATACTTATATGAATATATAATAAAAGGAAGTGTACATACACATCCGTAGATACCAACTGGGGCTCGATGCCAGGCACATGTAGCATGTATACGTAGGACTGTAGGAGTTCCAGTCAGCAGCTGTCCAGGGTTTACGGAATTGGGGTTTGGGATTCATAATAATATCATAATATCATGGTTCCTCCCTCAACTCCAAAAGTCAAACCCGGTTCGAACAAACATATATACATATACCGTCAATATATTATTGTAATTATATAATATAGCTAGTATATTATTATATATATATATATAATTAATATTTGTCCGCCTATATTTTAATTTTGTGTTACATTTTGTGTTACTTAAGATCTCCCGGAATCTACTCGTGACAGTTGTGCATGCACTCTGCACCCAAGCCACCTCGTCTTTCACTGCAAGCAGAGGAACACTGTCATTCCCAGGTGCAGGGCTGGCTCGGCATCCGGCGGCACCGTCGGGGCCGTGTGCCTGAATCAAAAGGGCCTGGAGCTGAGCCTCCAGGTCGTCGGTGATCGAAGTGTCCTGGCTTGCGAAGCGGCTGTAGTGCTCATCCTCCACAGATTCCAGCAGATTCGCGAGGGCAGTGGAGAAGCTCATCTCAGCCTGTTGCAGCTCATCCTTCACTTGCTCCATATTGTCCTGCTTGTCCTTAAGCTTGCCCTGCACCCAAGCATTTATCTTGTCCAACTGAGAAGCCAAGTTGCCACCCAGGTCGTCCCCATTGAGCTGTGCACGTTTTGCCTCGCCGAGGCTCGTTATCACTTTCACGTATTTGTCAAAGTCCTTGTAAGTTGTCTCCATGAGGGTCTGCTTCTTTGAGAAGTCAACAGCAGACATGTGCAATGTAGCCGCCTGACCGCCATGCTTCTTGTCCACTGTTGCGAAGGCTGCAGCCGGATCCATAGTCAAGCCGCCGACAGACCTGGTCCACTTCAGTACCAAGGAGGCTCTCGCTACCTCGTTCAGCCCTGCAGCTTTCTCACCCATCTTCCCGAAGACATACTCGACGAGGGGTGGCAGCTGACTAGCTGCACTTGCATCTTCCGGCTCTGGCAAACCTTCCTGCACTAAACTAGCACAGATCTTCTCTGCTCTTGTCGGCGAGGCCTTGGATGATTCCGGAAGACAGCCCACCGTGCTCTGCGAGTCCAGGTGTCGTGGGCCTGGGATCGTCCGGGACATATGTTAAACGGCTGTTACTGTTTCGAAGGAGTGCATGCTCTACGGAGAGTATGTGTGGGTATGTTTGCACAACGAAATCACAACGGTGTTTTAAGTTAACTACAATATGTCCATATACGATGAAGCTATAGTTACTGCATGTGAATACGTATCATGTGCACATGTAATTCAGACATCGATATATATATATATATATATATATATCGATATAGCACGATATGATATAATCACCAGCAGCCTGCTCTGTAGAGTCCTCTATAGCTAGATAGGCGGCTACTGAACCTGATATATATATATATATATATATATACCTAGACACGAACGAGCAGTACATGGAAGCATGTGTACATTTATAGCAGGTGCTATATACATATAGACACACATATACATGCATCATATATGTACTGCTGTGTATCGTCTATCTATATCTATATATATCTATATTTATATATTATCTATATCTACATCTATATCTATATCTATATCTATAACTATCTATATATATATGTATATATGTATATTGGTGTCCAATCGGTGTTTCGGGTCATTATAAGATTGCAGCCAGTTTTGTGCATGGATAGGCGGTGCTACACACATCTGCACATATGTGTGTGTACATATGGCATGTGTACGTACATATGCATAACCTCAACATAGACACACACACACACACATGTGTGACAGTGTGTATCCTAGTGCATTCCAGTCACGATGAAGGCGGGGATGCTTCGAGGAAGACCCCCCAGTAGCCTGCTCCATAAGCTCGTCCTCGGGACCTGACTTTGGAACATCGCCAGGGCGACTCTCAGGGGTAGCTCCATCCTGCATGGTCATTGCCGGCTCTGGAACATCACCGGGGCTACCACGGCCAGGCGCCTTGAGATCCTGCTGGGACTTCTCCGGCTCTGGAACATCACCGGGACCACGATCAGGGGCCTTGAGATCCTGCTTCTGGGACTTCTCCGGCTCTGGAACATCGCCCGTACCCGTGACAACACGATCAGGGGCCTTGAGATCCTGCTGGGACTTCTCCGGCTTTGGAACATCGCCCGTACCCGTGCTACCACGATCAGGGGCCTCGAGATCCTGCTGGGACTTCTCTGGCTCTGGAACATCAGCCGTACCCGTGATAACACGATCAGGGGCCTTGAGATGCTGGGACTTCTTTGGCTTTGGAACATCAGCCGTACCCGTGATAGGACGATCAGGGGCCTTGAGATGCTGGGACTTCTCCGGCTTTGGAACATCACCGGGGCCAAACCGATCAGGGGCCTTGACATCCTGCTGGGACATCTTCGGCTCTGGCTGACCACGAGGGGTGCTTGTGGCGCCCGGAGACTTCTTCGACTTTCGAACAGAAGATCGGGGGCAAACTGGATGCTGCTCGCGAGTGCGGGAGCCACCCAAGCCAGCCGAGCCAGCACCCGGCTCCTCCACACGTTGTGTCTCCTGGTCAATTCATTGACTCTAGCTATAGCTAGCATGAATACCATAATATAGTAGCCTTGGATGAGGGAGGATATATACATATGTATGTATATATACATTATGTAGTACGATATGCGATAATTACTAGCATATTACCATAGCAATATAGCTCAAGAGTTGAAGTAGAGGTTTAATTAGGAGTTCAGGGGTTCAGGGGTTGGGGGGTTAAGGATTGGGTGTACATGTGTGATGACATAGTATTCTGTCCCATGTCAGCTCCTGCAAAGGAGAACTCATCCTAGCCTTCTTGTGGTAGGGCGAGTCTGCCACTGATGCAAACGTTGCCTCTAGGTTTGTCCGGCATGGTGTCGTGCGAGGGGGAATCTTCAGACTTGCACTGTCACGACCTCTAGATCTTGTTCTCTCCAATGCAGTCGACCGGTCAGGCTTCTTCCCGTGGGCATCATTGGAATTCTTGCCGTGGGCATCAGTCAAGGCTTCGCTGCTGCTACCTGATCTTAAGGTTGTGAACTGTAGAGCAGACTCGAGTGCAAGCCACACTTCACAGCTACAGGGAACGGTGCATCCTAGTTACCGACTGAGATCTTGGAGTTGCATCGCTGCAGGCACAATGTGATCTCCTTGTCCATGTCGAAACGTTCTTCCTGGGCAGCAGTGGGCAGGATGGGAGATTGATTGGGGTTGTGAATAATTACAGCATGTCGGGCAACGAGCACGGTAGATTAATTCCTGCAGCTAGGTTCCTCTTGCTTCTGCTTTCTGCCACCCTGCTTGGCTGCGGTTCCCTGCTTCGGGGGCATGGCTCTAGGAACTGATCGAATTGGAACCCTGTAAAGTGCAAAAGACGGAAAAAGTACAGCCCAGCAGACGGAGCTAACATTACGAATACGTAGCCCTACGTAGAAATGTCTACGTACACTTCGCTAGGAAGGCCAGATTATTTTTCACACGTTTTCACTCATATTTCACGCCTGGCGGTTAGCAGGAGAGGCCTTTCACACAAATTCACGTGTTTTTCACATCCACACCTGTACGTACCATTACGTAGCTCTACGTCGACACGGGGCCAAATGCTCGCGAAAAGGACGTGTCCCGGTCACCTTCATCAGGCACGACCCTCAGATTTCACAGGAAACCCACACTGGCTTCAGATTGGATTTTGCTTCGGAGTTGCAGGCTCGGAATCGGTTGCAGCTGTTGCCAATGGCGGTGCAGATCGGGTCTTCTCCAGCTATGTATCCTTAATATCATCTATTTGTAGACATCATCGTAGATAATTGTAATATCATGAAACGAACAGGACTGGTCCCCCATATTGCCAGAGTGCATTTCTACGATCCACACCTGCAACGGCAGGGATAGACGGGTGTCACCAATTTCAGGAGTGCCGTCTGATCATGAGCAGGCAGTCAGCGAGGTTGAACATGTAGTTCATGTGTATATAAAATGCATTCTTTGAGTATGTCGTACACACATAGATATATATATATACATATATACATATATATATATATATATATATATTCACACAGAAATACACAGCACATGATAATATGTATCATGGTCATGCCATGCTGATCATGTCTAGCATATATTATAATTATATTGTATATATCACTATTATATTGCATTCATATACATATATATATATATATAGCAGGTAGACAATAATGCATAATAATAATACATATATGTACGTAAAGATATATATATGTATGTATATATATATATACATACATATATATATCTTTACGTACATATATGTATCTATATATATGTATCGTAGATATAAGTATATACATCTACACTCATCAGAATTACATAACAAATACATATCTTCGTATTATATAGCTTGTTTTTGTTGGTGCAGACATGTATGTACATAATATGATCATATCTATATATACAATATACATATGTTCAGTATCCAGTCAGGGACATAAACACACATGTGATATACACAATATATAGATAGATGTGTATGTACATGTATATTTTAATACAAGCTTAATGTGGAATATGTGTACGTGTATATGTTTCTGTGTCCGTGGAAAAAAGAAGTTCTCGTATGAAGCCTCGCATGTATATCATCTGGTAAATTAATGATGATGAGTGTCTCTCACACAAATACATACATGCTATATATATATATATATATCTCTATATATATATACATATATATATATGTGTGTTTATATGTATCATATATGTATATTAATTCTATAAAGATATAATATATAATAACAAGCATATTATATATCAAAACACGGCACATACGTATATATGCACATCCTCATATTATGGCGACAATATATAGATATACCTCTTACGAATGCAAGATGCATAGATATCGACAAATGTGTGCATATATATATATATATATATTATAATTATATAGTATATATATGCATACGTGGACACACATGTATATATATATATATATCAGTATATGTGCATCATACTATCTCTATCATATATATATATATGTATATGTACATGTAGTGTAGCGATACACGTGTACAGATATCAGTTACAGATACACAGCTCTGTACATGTATATGTGTATACATATCATGCATGGCACTTCATATAATATATACAAGTATAATTATAAGCTCTTATGAAATAAATGAACACACACAATCATGATATATCACATAGTTATCATTATAATAATGTATATGTCTACATCGTGATCATATACACACAAATACATATATACATGCATGCATACACCTCTTAAAATACGAAACATATGTGCCTAATATATGTGTATATGTACAGGCTAACACTATATAGATACAACGTGTGCGGCCTTTAGATGGCCATGGCCAATATGCACATACGTCCCCATGTTCAGTGTAGCCCCGGCCTCTTCAAAGCATGTATATAATATATATATATATATATATCCGTATCATTGAAAATACAGGTCTCTCTAGATCTCTGTCGTTCGAAGATCTTCGCACAATCACAAATATGTGTGCATGTGCATGTGTGAAGAAGACACATGTTGGCATACATGTACATATATATATATGTACACATACAATTGCAAGTCTATATATATATATATATACACATGTAAGCATATGTGAACAGGTCTGCGATTATAATTATATAGACACTGCTCAGCAAGGGCTCACATGTACACACACACACACACATGTATGACACATCGGGGGAATGCAACATGACCATCTGTTATAAGACCGCAGTGTTTGCATATATATATATACTATATATTCACACATATATATAGTTTTTACTATAATCATCATATATATGTGCTGAAGGCATACATGCATGCAGATACACTACATATATATATATATATGATGTAGCATAGCTAGCACACGGTGATATACATATATGTAATAATATAATAATAAAATATCATATCTAGAGCTTCGAGTGTGTACGTGTTTAATATATATATATAAACATATAGAATCAACCACGTATCGCCTGCTCATCGTCAGATTATGCTCTCCAAACTTCTTCATAAAATGACCGCAGAGCAAGCCAGCGATGCAGTCGACCAAGCCACCAAGTGCAGTGTGACTGCTTCTACGTCCGGATGCTGCAACCTATATGCTAGCTGAACAGACTTATCGGGTAGTGCTAAAACAAGCCACACACACACACACACGATGGCCTATGTCGTCTGAGAATCAAGCAAGACAGTCTTGCCCTTGCTGCCTGTCCTGACCAAACCGTAGTGGTCACAGAACTTCTCAAAACTCTCAGCACTCGCCACAACATCAAACTCAAGAATCCCAGTCGGAGTGTACTCACCTTTCAAAACCGAGTCTTCGAGGTGCCGCTTCATCTCCTGCAAGCCCGCCGAAGACCAGTCCTGCTGGAGGTCCTGGCCGAAGCAGTTGTGTTGCTAGACTGGCAGTCGGCATGTTACGAACATGTGGGCATCTTCGAGAGTCGTGCACACAGACCCATGGCATGCTCTGTGAACCTGCGAGCATTTATAACACAAGCTAGGTCGCAGCCTCATGAAATCATGACCAGGTGTGATTGCCGAGACTGTCGAGCGCCTGGAACCCGGACTCCAGAACCCTCGCCAGGTCGGGCATCTCGGGGTCGGTAGCCTGGAGCACGGAGGCTGTTAAGTTCTTATTTATAAATATGGTTTACACTTAGGGCTCGAAGGTTGTACATAGATATAGAATTATGTTGCAAACAAACCTGGGACCTACATATGCATAGCCGTTGCTATGGCAACTTGTTGACCGATCATATATATATATATATGCACTAATTACATATGTAGCTAGTCTCGTCTGTGCCCGCCAGCTACAGTAGACGAAATATTAGATTAGATCGCAGCTCCCTACACAATTATGAAGTCCTGATAATCTCAAGGTTGGAATTGTCACATTCTCGAAGGACTCCCATGATCATGATGTTCTTTTAGGGATACTCAGACATCTGACGAGGAAACCCCAATCATGACATATTTCCGGATCGGACAAGCAATGGCATAATCAGATGAATAACCCAGTGCACATGCCTGCTCTGGAATGTAGCAAACACTCGACTGGGGGCCCCCGCCAGCCATTCATGGTGACGAAGCTGGACATTCTTGCCGAAGTACCGCTTGTAACCCGTGGAAGATCGGTGCCGAGCTTGCCTTATCATGATTCGGAAAGACTGAATTGCCTAACTGATGCCCACGAACAGATTTAAACAGAAGCTCGATCACCTAGTTTTTCAAGCACTCGCCTTAGAACGAGTCCTCATGATGCATGTGGCTCAGGTTTCGGCACTATCTCATGCCGATGGCGATCCCCGGAGCGGAATGCAGTGGCAAAGGATGCTGCCTTCTCCTTGAGGCCTGTCTTCTTCACCTCCAGCCCCCGGATCCAAGGCCTGAGATGGCTGCCTACGAACATGTGTATAAGTACGATACACGTAATAATAGTATACATGCATGCATATTATATATATATATATATCGCAAGTCTTTGCTACTGACACTTAAA